TTCCCTACAAGTTAAACTTGACCTTGTCTAGAGAAACTCATAAACAACTAAAACTCATTAGAAATTTTTTAATTTTAAAATCTCTCAACCATTAGACAACAATTAACCACAACACATGAATTAATAAATCAACAATTATTAATAAAAATGTAATGGTATATATAAATTAAATTTTAGATTTAGGATAAATAATTTATAATATAATATTATTTTTTATTATTAATAATTTTAAGAAATAATACAATTTAATTTATAAATAAATATTATAAAAAATTGAAAAATAGATAAAAGTTTGAAAAAAATCACTGAAAATCCTCTCATAAAAAAATACCTGAAAATGTTATCATTAAAAAGAAGTACCATAAAATATTTTCACACAAAATAATTAGTCTTTCGTATTTAATATATAAGACTGAATTAATTTCAATGTTATTTTTTTGGTCATTTTCCTTATTTTTGCACCAGTTTTCTCTGGTTTCTTTTCCTTTTGTTTTTTAAGAGCATTTTTTTTCCAGGTTTCTTATAAGAAAAAAAGGTTAAAAAAGCTAACTATGTTAATTAACTTCTAAAGGATGTTGTTTACAACTTCTGTTGAAAGCATTTTTTTATCTTATATTTTGGAGGAAAATGTCAAAATATGAAATAATTGATTTAATAATATTAGAGCATGTTTAGATTTACATGAATTTTAATTGAATGTGGTTTAGTGAATCAACTAATTGCTTTTGCCTCAATTTTGATTTGATTATTGTCTAAACTTAAATCATGTATGTGAAACCAAACATGCAAACATGCACTTATAGCACCTCCATCAAACTAATCCGAGGTTCTTATTAACTTTTTTCATATTTATCTTAATTAACTTTTCTAATCCGAGGTTCTTATTAACTTTTTTCATATTTAGAGTTTGGTGCTTAATTATTTTAGCACCTTTCAAATACAATGTGGTTAAGTAAGCATTGGTTCTTAAATCTTTTTGGCCAAATAATATTAAAAATAATAATAATAATAAACGAAATTCAATGCAATAAAATGTAAGGATATGGAATTATTTAAGAGATTAATTTAGTAGTTTTTTAAAAAAATTATTGGGCTGGAGAGAGGAGTTGCTTTACGTTAGGAAAGTAAAAACGAGTAATGTGTAATGGTAGAATTCCTTTAAAATATGTAAAAAGTTAAAGAAAAGGGATACTATGGTTGCTTTGTAAGTTAGAATTCACTTGGTAAAAGGGAAATAGTAAGTTAAAAAAAAGGTGAGAAGAGAGAAACACGTGAGAGATAAAAAAAAATGGAGTGTGTTTGATAGAAAAAAAAATGACAAAGAGAAACAATAAGAAAGTGAGTCACATATCTTTTTTTTTTTCTTATTTCTTTTATTTATTTTTTTAAATTTAACATTCTTTATTTTCCCCTTTTTTCTTCTTATTTGAATTTACTTGTTCTTTACCTATTTCTTTCCATCTAGTGAGTGATAGTGTCATATAGGTGAAGTATCTTTTTCAGTTGGAAAACCACATATGAAACACCAAAGTAATTAATTAATTTTAGTTATCATTATGTAAAGGGAAAATGTGTCTTTTGTGTGCCTCTCAAGTCTCAACCATGCAAAATTTTCGTAACCAAGAGGCGAAAAGTAAAGGGTAATCAATTAACATCTTTGAAAAATCATACGTTATCTGGGTTGGTCGCTGAGACATGGCATCATGGCAACATCCGAATGTTCATTTTCTGTTCCATAATTGCTAGAACACATTTTCTTTAATTAATTAAAATTCACTAAAAACTACAAAAATTTAATAAGTTTTACGTCTTATTTAATAAACTTCTCTTATAATTTTATAATTTTCAATACTTTTTAACCTATTAAATATGTTAGAAAATATGTATCTCACATTCATCTTTCTCATTAATTTGAGTAGCAGAAAATTAAGCACTTATCTATTTAGCTGCAAATGCTGGATTCTTACTTATCTTTATTGGACAATGGGCAATTGAATCACATAATTGAGATAGAATAATTCCCACCGTCCATAATTATATACTCTCTCATAAGATGCGAAATTTATAATCTCAGAATTTATATCGTGTGTTTTGTGAGTGTAAATGTAACAATTTGTAATGGAACTTTATATTCGTTAAGGCTTATCTTTGATTGATTATGATTTATGTGATACATTACATCTAATACTAATTTTTTTGCATGGACATGATTGAGACTGATCTGGCTGTACTTGTTTGGTAATTGAGGCATTGGGGAAGGGCACAAGCCTGAACAGTCCAAAAAGTGAAGAGCACAGATGAATAATTCTCTAGGAATTACAGTCCCACTCCCACAGCTCCAGTACAAATGTCTAGTTACTACTTACTAGTTAGTATTTGATGGGAGCCAACTTTTCCTACTCTCACATCACACATTCACTAGACACTTGTATTACTTAAAAAAAAAACAATTGAAAGAATTTAATTAGAAAATAATTAGTGTCATCTAATTATAGGTGTACATCTATATTAAGTTGAGTTTAATTTTTATGTAGTGTAGTTGTCACGATGCATATCAATAAAAAATTACAATAACTAAACAAAATAAATAAAAAACCACATAAGTATTTTTTTAAAAATAGTCATAGTAATAATTAATAAATTTATCATATCATTATCATATATATTATTTAGTTTAATAAATTTATTAATTATTTTAAATTTAGTTAATTGTTTGATCTTTATATTTGCATCAATTTTTCATTTCAGTTCCTATACTTAACTCTTTTTTTTTATTTTAATTTTTTTATGTTTTAGTCTTTATGATATTTTTAGTTATAACTAATAAAAGAAACCTATAAAAAAACTAATAACAGAAACTAAAATTAAATAAAAAAACTTATATAAAGACTTAAACGTATAACTTTTAAATACAAAAATTAAAGGAAAATTAACATAAATTTTTAAATATAAGAATTAAAATAAAAAATTAGTAAGGATATAGAGATTAAACAATCATAATAACAATAATCTTAAAATTTAAAAAAAATCCAGCTGATGGAAACCCAAATCATAATGCACTAAAAATAAAAAATAAAAATCCAAGACCTTATTACAAAAAGAAATGGTGCAGTAAATAATTTACTGTTATAGGCTTCATTGAACAATCATCAATCAACATCCTTCCAACCGACCCTCACTTCATTTCTTCTCTTCCTTCTATAAAGGCAACAAAGGTTTCTTGCTTAAAATCTGTATTTTTTACACACAAATCATTGTATACTTCTAATGTCTGTTGAGTTGAGTTGTGCACTCCCCTGAAATCCTTTCCAAAAGCCAACTCCTTTTTCCACTCCTATAATCTCCAAAATCCATTTTTTTTTTCTTTAAAGCTTCACTTTTTAATTTTTTAATCTCCAAGTCCAAGGCCTACAACAGGGGATGCCACTACCCTATAGAGTGGCGGTTTTTGTCTACATAGCTATTCTTGTTATGTGCAAATGGTAGCTCAAGGGCCTATATATATGTGTGTATGTGAACACTTGTTGTTGCTATCTCCAAGTCTCTATTTGGGAGCACCAATGGCTTTGTTCATGGAAATTCTTGGTGGTGTTGTCTTGGTGCTCTGTTTTTGCTCTGTTCTCTTGAAGTGGAATGAAGTAAGGTATAGGAGGAAAGGCTTGCCTTCTGGCACAATGGGGTGGCCTGTTTTTGGGGAGACAACTGAGTTTCTTAAGCAAGGCCCAAACTTCATGAAGAACAAGAGGGCGAGGTAACTTCTTCATATGTGTTTCTTCATAGTTATGTGCATGTGTTCAAATAAGTCTTGTTCTGTTCATTTGTGTAAGTGGGGAAGTTGCTTCGTTAAAAGTTTTTCACATGGTTTATAGCCTATTCACATGTTTTAGCATTTTCCTTATTGAAACCTGCTTCATCAGCATCCCCTGCATGCCACTGTGATTTGTCACGGTAATTAAGGTTATGGTAGGTAATAGACCTACCATCTTGCATTTTCATGTGGAAAAGTTTGTGATTGTTTATTCATGAAGTAGTTTTAGAGATGCCAATCAGCGTTGTTGGAGTGTAAAACTAAAGACCACTCTCCTCTCTTGTAATTCTGGGATGGAAGAGAAGAGGAAAGTGTGTAGGGTCATAAGTCATAGACATGAAGATCCAGGGAAAGATAAACCCTCACTGTCTCTAATGAATGACATTCACATCATCAACTTTCGTAAATGAATAAGAGAAATTGGATATGTACAACTATTTTTTTTTTTTTGAACAGAGAGAAATATAATTGATGTGATGGAGATGTGAAAAAAAAGGTTGTAGAGATTGTTGTAAAAAAGTGTAATAAGATAACATGAAAAAAAAAAAAACATGCCTGTTGGATAAAACATTATCTTAGTCTATTTTCCTGAATCTAGTTAAACTGGGGGCGAGGTAAATACTGTTCATTCATGTACGTTTGGGTTTTTTACCCCATTGGTTATGATTACAACTTTTTTTCTTCCCTTTTGTGGATGGCAGGTATGGCAGTTTTTTCAAATCCCACATCCTGGGGTGTCCTACCATTGTATCCATGGATCCGGAGATAAATAGATACATACTCATGAATGAATCTAAAGGGCTTGTTCCTGGGTACCCACAATCCATGTTAGATATCTTAGGCAAACGCAATATTGCAGCTGTTCATGGCTCCACTCACAAGTACATGAGAGGAGCACTGCTTTCCATCATTAGCCCCACCTTGATCAGAGATCAGCTTTTACCAAAAATTGATGAGTTCATGAGAACCCACTTGAGTCATTGGGATAACAAAGTCATAAACATCCAAGACAAAACTAAAGAGGTTTGTACCACTGTTAATTGAAATCCAAATACTTGAACTAACAAAACAGGAAAAGTTTTTAACATAATTGCAAATTCTCAAATTTTGGAACAGATGGCATTTCTCTCTTCCCTGAAGCAGATTGCTGGCATGGAATCCAGCTCAATATCTCAACCCTTCATGACAGAGTTCTTTAAACTAGTTTTGGGAACTCTCTCTTTGCCAATTGATCTTCCTGGCACTAATTATCGCCGTGGATTGCAGGTATATGGTCGTCGATCTTTTCCCATTGGTGCATGATATTGTGCATGTTTTGAATCAAGTTGGAGTTTTTATAATTACACTAAAGTGATTTAATTAATGTTTATATGATTGGCCTCATATTGGGAAATTTATTTTGGATTCTAAATGTCTACTTCAAAATCAATTTTACATGCTACACTCAAAACATATTACATTTTATTGCAACTTCATTTCTTCAATTGTACATTGATACATGTACTTTAATGTGTCTTGCAGGCAAGGAAGAGTATTATCAGCATTTTGAGTCAGTTGCTAGAGGAAAGGAAAACATCACAAAATGCACACGTGGACATGCTTGGTTGCTTGATGAATAGAGATGGAAATCGATACAAACTAAGTGATGAGGAAATCATTGATCTAATTATTACAATTATGTATTCTGGTTATGAAACTGTTTCAACTACATCAATGATGGCCGTGAAGTACCTCCACGACCATCCCAAAGTTCTTGAAGAAATCAGAGTGAGTGCAAAAATTCTCATGCTTCTTTAGGTATCTTGCTCTTGCTTTATTGCATTGTCTGTTCTGACAGTGATCACACTGAATACAGAAAGAGCACTTTGCCATAAGAGAAAGGAAAAAGCCAGAGGATCCAATTGATTGTAATGATCTCAAATCAATGAGGTTTACTCGTGCGGTATGATTCTTCTATCTTTTCATTTAAACTTACTCAGATTAAATTTTTTTCTTTGATCACAATTTTGATGTTATGTGCCATCTGTGTTTTTTGCAGGTGATTTTTGAGACCTCGAGATTAGCTACAATAGTTAATGGGGTTCTAAGAAAAACAACTCATGACATGGAACTAAACGGTGGGTTGTATGTCTCTAGCTTTTGTTCTATTTATGTTTATGGGCTCAAGAAGCCGTTTTTTTGACTTTTGGGGGCTTCTTTCAGTCACTTTTTCAGCATCAATGAAACTTGTTAGAAAGTAACCGGTAAATAAATTTATCCCTAGGATAGTGTATTTGGACACATGGTACTATTGCCTATCAGCTAAACTTCACAACCAGATCATTCCACTATTCCATTAGTATATAACAAGTTTTCCGGAAAAAAGATGCTTTTCCCCCAAATTCCTCTTGGCTATTATCATTACTTTGAATTTTTAATATGCTTTGGTCATAGATGGTTTAAATGAGGAAGGGTCCATTTATGGATTTTATAAAACATGTTCACTTTTTAAATTTTTATTATTATTATTTTTTATATAGTATATGTTACTAGCATGTTGTTGCAATCAAGAGGCTTATTGGAGCTTTTGTACATGCTTTCAGGCTATTTGATTCCTAAAGGGTGGAGGATATATGTATATACTAGAGAGATCAATTATGATCCTTTTCTGTATCATGATCCACTTGCATTCAACCCTTGGAGATGGCTGGTTTGTAAAACAACCTATACATATTTTCTTTTTTTAACACAAAAGGCTTGCAAATTAATGAGCAACCGCAAAATGCAGGGTAACAGTCTAGAGTCACAAAGCCACTTCTTGATATTTGGGGGAGGCACCAGACAATGTCCTGGGAAGGAGTTGGGGATAGCAGAAATTTCCACTTTCTTACACTACTTTGTAACTAGATACAGGTGAGAGAGTTGATTTGTTTACCAATTCAACGTCCAAAAACACTTGCAAAACAGTGATGTCAGATATTTAATGTTGATTGCAGGTGGGAAGAAGTAGGAGGGGATAAACTAATGAAATTCCCTAGAGTTGTGGCACCAAATGGACTGCACATTAGGGTCTCATCTTATACTAACTAGGCCATGTGTATGTACAGTAATGAGATATAGGAAATAGTAGGGTTCTTTTGTATGATATATGCTCTAACAAGTAGAAAAATCAATGAAATTAGCTTCTTTCTATTTCTTGTGTGATTCCTTTTTTTCTTGCTTTTTGAAATTTGAGGAGCATTTAATGCTAATACTAATACACATTCCGATGTGGGGGCGTGAAGGATATTTGAGGCATGTAAGTCAGGCACTGGTAAATAGGCCTGGGTTCTCAGTACTATGAGGCCTAGCCCATGCTTAATCAGTAAGCCTTTGGGAGTATATTACTGTATTCATTTGTGTTGTGGACCAGACTAGGACACGCTTTGGTCTAAGCTAGAGCCTAGAATGCTACACTCTAGGATGCTTCTTTCCCCTTAAAGTGATGACACTTGGTGGACATGGGCCTGGCTGAAAGGTTTTGGGCTCAGAATTCGAAACCTATGTTAAGTCTGTCTATCAATTCATATGTCAGGACTCAGTTGGACCAAAGGCTAAAGAGGTCGGGACTCGATCATGTTCTGATAGAATTTGGGGTTTAATTGATAAAATTAAGCTTATAAGTTAATTGAAATTTTGTAAGTTAAAATCTGAGTTACAAAGTTGAAGATTTAAATTAAAAATATTTTATAAGATTATGATGTAAAATGACATTAACGAAAATCAATTTTACCTACCATGATTCTTAAATTTGCAAAACTTTGGTTTAATTGCCTTTTATCTTTCTAGACTTTAGTATTTTAATTATAAATTTCAATACCACGAACAATTTAAATATTATTCACAAGTCTCGATGCTTCAATTGCCTTCATTTTTACTGAAACAGGTGTCTATGCTAAATCTAGCTGCAGTAAAAAACCTATGGCCATTTCAAGCATTTTGTGTATTGGGGTACTCAATTTTACTTCCACACACTGAAAGTGGATTGACCCATTTACAGTGATTCCACTATTGGGCTTTCAAACGTGGGCCTGTGAGTTTGGTCAACAAAATACAAAAAATAGATGTTGGTTTTTAAGTCTATTTGTTGTTATTGAATTAGGTTCTTGACCCAATGACACCCCCACAAAAAAAAAAAAGAGAACTTGGCATGAGCCCAAAAGTACAGTTGCGGAATGGATCCACTGGATGAATGTGATATTTTAGGCAATCGTAATTTTTAAGTAAATGTGAAGACATTGACCAAAAAGAGAAAGAAAAAAAAAAGTACACTCTAAGAGGGGTTGCGTGGTGAGTGGCCTAATACCATTTATTAGACTGAAAAATTGCCTAACTCAATAAATGAGTGATGAAATTAAAATGCTTTGTTTTGTTCTTCTCTGGTCAAAGAAGATGCAATTCCCACCAAATCTGCCGAATATGTTGTTTGTTCACCTGACATTGTCAACCAAAGGAAGTACAAATCCTGAACTCCATTATGTAAATAATTTAGCTACTTAGTTCAAAATTAACCAAATAGGCACATCATATTCGTAGTGGGTTACTCAGCTATCTCTTTTAGCTTTCTTTTACCAAATTTATTTGTCAATAATATCTATTCATCTCTTTCACCTTCTATTGTTAGACTAGGTATCTTTAAATACAGTCATCCTTTACATGTTAGCATAATAATATTATTATTTTTCATTGAAACCTCCTATATTAAAATTTTTTAGATTTTAGGATGACGATAACTTTAAGTAGAGGGTTTGTATATTATATTATTCGAAGAACTTAATTAATCTCAAATGATGTGAATGTGACTTTACCTTAAAAAAAAACTCAAATGATGTGAAAGTTAACAAAAAAAAGAAGAAGAAAACTATATGATCAAATTGAAGGGAAAAAAAAAAGGCATTATAATCATCTACTTGATACATGCATTGGATTTTTATACGCAACAGTGTTTTTTTTATATAATTATTTTAGATGAATAGTTGATAATTTATATTTCATATCAGATTATTTTTAAAAATGGAGGTTTTATATTTTGTGAGGCTTTTTCCTTTTCATAAAATAAAACCACCTCAGTACTTGCAGTCGAACTATATATAATTAGAAGATATTTAGAATAACTCTTGATTTTATGAATTTTTTTTTGTCTTTTTTAAGAGCTTTCAAATTTATTTTAACGGTTTATTAAGATTTTTTTTAAAAATTTATTCTGACAAATTACGTTTACAAATAAGTTTTTACTCCAAATACATCGTTGAAGAACGACAAAAAAACTTCAAGTATTTCTAACTTTTAAATTAAAGACTACTCTCATAGATAATTTAAATGATCAAAATTTATGAGATTACTATGAAATTCTACTATAAACCTAAATTGATTACACAGGTTAAATATTTTTTATTTAGTTAGAACACATATATTTATTTAAAAAAATACTTATCTTTGAATCGGATATAATTATTAAAAACAACATAATTTTCTCTCTATATATATTTAATGCAATTGTATATTTTAAAACTTAAAATTATTGACTAAAATGAAATAATTTTGTGCCGATTGATAAAAATAAACTTCTTATTTAATTAAAGTTTTTAAAAAATATATATATATAGTTTTGATTTTAATAATACATGCATTTTAACTTAAGGTAGAAGATGCAATGGGTCACTTTATTAAAAAACAAAAAAAGACTTAAGGCATAAGATATTCCATTTCATCTGAAAAGAAGCTTTTATTTATATACAGTGTGTTATGAACAGTTGAATTAACGAATGAGAAATTTAATGAGAGATTTTGATATAAATATACATTTGTAGCATCAAGATGAATTCATCTAAATCTACGCAAAGAAGGAATGGAACGTGGAAGTCCCTAATTGCATACGCATTCCAGTTCCCTTTTCCGCCATTCTCTCCGCATCAAAAGACACATATTCATGCATGCTTTACCTCTCAACTCTCTCACCCTTTAATATTTATATCTGCATTTTTATTTAAAGAATTCGTATTCAGATTTTTATTTTTATTTTAATATTAATAAAAATATTAACTCAAAATATAAAATCTCATTCAATTAAAAATATTTTAAGATCTTTTAAACCTTAATTTTACAAACAGTCATTAAATTTTACAATGTTTACGTTAGTTTGAATATCTTATAATACTTCTTTATTTAAGACCAAGATATGTAATAAATAGTATACTTTGAAGTTTATTATAAATAAATTCAATGCATACTTTTTATTGTTATTTATGTTGTGCGGAATATTATTACATTACCTTAGGCCTTTGCTCACCCATCCCATGAATCCATTACATTTGGCTTCTTGTTTTTGGGTTTAGGGTTTAAATCACTTGACGTTCTTCCAACCATGAAGGTGAAGAAGAAAAGTTAAAAAGATAAGAATGGTCTTCGCCGCGTGAGAAGGGGGAATGCAAAATCATGACAAACAATTCTGACTAGTTGTAGTGGAAATTGAATGGAAAAGAAAGCTAATAGAGTTTGAGATAGATCACTTTCAAACAACTTCATAGGTTGCCTATTTTTGTAACTACCAATTTGACCCACCCACATCACCCTAAGGTTCTCCTTATCATACAAAATCACATTTTTTTAGCTATTAAAAAATCCCATACTCTTCCCACTACAAAAAAAAATATTACATATAAAATATGTTATTACAAATATAATATATGTAGAAATAAATTTATTTGATGATACATAACTATAGTATTGATTTTAAACAAAATCTAATAACATATATATATCATTGTAGTACATATTTACACTTTTTAATAATATACCAATATTATATATATATATATTATGTAGATAAAAATAATTTTTAATAATATCCTAATTTCTTTTTGTAGTGTCGGTTAAAGAAAAGAAAACCTTACTAATATTTTGATGAAGCTCATGAACATGACATAAAATTAAAATATCTTTGTTAATCTAAAAATGTATTTTCGTGATTGAAAGAAAGAGCCAAAGAGGAGTGTTGGATTATTGGGTGACTTTTCTTCGTTATTGACAAATTCCATCAAAGGAAGCACACAAGAAGTAGAAAAATAACTAGATAGCAACGCAGACATCTTATAATGTTATTTATTAATTATTTGTCGTCGAACTGGGATTTTAATTTAAAAATCGACTAATACAGTGGGTTTTTCTTTTTCAGTTTCTTTTTTATTTTTTTCCATGTCTCATTATCTTACATGATTTTTTTTTCTTTTTCCAGCGATACACAGTTTAGACTTTGCATGCCTTTTTAACGTGAAATCGCCTGCAATTAAACCCATAATGTATCCATGCAATAAATATAAAAATTAAAATTAATAAATCAGATTATATTTTAAATATAGTTGATCTTACTAACGCACAAGTGAATGTAAGGCATGTAAGATTGTTTCAGATTCACTGGTGTTTAATTATCTTAAATTTGCTTCTTTTTTTATTTTTATTTTTATTTTTTTTATTTATAAAAATAATGTTAAATTTAAGTCTTGAATATGTAACTGTATTAAATATTTAAAGAAAATTATTGACAAAAGGTACAAATGATTTCTAATAAAAAAAATATCTTAAAATTGTATTTAAAACATGTCTCAAATAATTCAATTCAAAGATAAATTTCAAATGCAAGGAGAATCATATATTCCAATTTCACATAAATAATTTGCCTTATTGGTCAAATATAATCAACATATATTTAAATGATACTAAAATAAATAAACCCTTTTAATTGTTTCTTAATTAAAAATATTTCTAAACTCCACAAGCGAATGTGAAGTGCATCACTCCCGTTAAAAGAAAGAATATTACAAGATTACGGTGAAATATCTGTAAAAAAAATTTATCAACTATATAGTTTTTTTTTACCATCCTATTTCAGGTTAATTTAATTCCAGTAGCGATGAGATGATCACAAGCCTTAAAATCAATAACTGTCATTTGTTATTGTTGTGGTACATTAAAAAATCGACCAACTCGGTTACGTATATTATGCTCTTCTGAGATTTTATTTTTATATTATTTTGAATGAGCATTGTTCTTCTTTTATCATATAACTTATTTACTAATGAACTATTAACCTCATCAATTTTAATCTTGCTCTGGCTGGTTAATTTCAACAAAAAGAAATTAGATTTTGATAACTAAGCTTTATTTTTCTTTTTGGTGAGCTTAATTGTCTGTGATAAAAAAAAAAAACAGGGGTTGATAATCATTCCTCAAAATAGCAAGGTTCATTTTTAAAAATAGCTAACATCTGCCATCAAATATTCTTCTTAATTAAGTATTTAGTGTGTTTAGATATCTCCTAAATCAATTCTAACATCTGAAATCTTGATGACAAATTAAAAAGTTAAAACAATTATTTGTTTTTTTTTCTTCTTTCAACATAATTTTATAATTGATTTTACTAGAATTGAAAATTGAAAGTTAATATAAACACACTTTAGGTTGTAGCACTAGCATCCTAGTAGTCATCATAATCAAGTTAAAGATATTTTTTTTTATCAAATGAAGCAAACTACACAAAATTTGATACTCACAAATCTCTGCCCATAAATATGCACTAAACCCATTACATAAAACAAGACACAATTATTATTGCTATTATTACGAGTTACAATGTGTGCACCTCATTGTACGAAAACACATTTCACACACACCACCAACGTTTGAAGTGTTGAAGGAGTCTTCTTACCTTAAACATTCACACACGTTTCTCTACAAGCTCCCCAACTCGTGCCGAAAGCAGCGGGCTCGCACGTGCCACTCGTTTATATTATAGTTCTCCACAAACTCCCTCTCTCCCACTGCATCTTCAAAACACACGCAGTGTTTGTGAAACTCAGACCTTGTGTTGGATTCCAAGAATTCTGTGCCATGGCATCACCAACACCCCTTTTGAAAGATGAACTTGACATCGTGATCCCCACCATCAGGAACCTCGATTTCTTGGAGATGTGGAGACCCTTCTTTCAGCCTTACCATCTCATCATTGTGCAAGATGGTGACCCTTCGAAGACCATCAAGGTCCCTGAAGGCTTTGACTATGAACTCTACAACCGCAATGACATCAACAGGATTCTTGGTCCCAAGGCCAGTTGCATCTCCTTCAAGGACTCTGCATGCCGTTGCTTTGGCTACATGGTCTCCAAGAAGAAGTACATCTACACCATTGATGATGATTGCTTCGTGAGTTTTCCTAATTTCGTCACCAACCTTTTATTGTGGTCTCTTTGGTTTTTGCCATCTGAGTCTGGTCTTGGCTAGATCTTGATATGACATGGTTTCTTGAATTTGGTTTGAAATGGTTGATCTCTTTCTTAGTCATGTAAAATTTTGATCTTGTTGTGTTGTTGTTTGAGTCTAACTGATGCTGCTGCTTCTGCTATTTCTGGCCGTTGCATGAATTGGATCTTTTTTTTTTTTTTTTTTTTTTTTTGGTTTTTTATTTTTTT